AGTTCAGTTCGGTAAGTTCATGTCCCATCAGTTCATGTCCGATCAGTTCTGGTTATTCCGGTTAAGTCCAAATATCATGTCAGGTTCAGTAGAGCATCTTAACATAATTAATCAGTTGAGATAACAGTCTGAGCATAGTCATTAGTAATTGTTTATATTATATTTCAGTTTGATCAGGTCACGAGTATCAGCACTACCTTTATTTTCACGGATCAGGTGGGGACTCAGGCTAAGTACTACATTGATTATAATTACGGTACCATGTTTGAGGTATGTATTTCATGTCATGTATCCGCTCGGAATGGTCGCCGGTCCATTCTGGGTTCTAGTGGCCCTAGTCTGCCCCCTAGAGTGTGCACAAGGTGTCCGGTATTAGTTTGTGCCGGCAGATGAGGTAACGGTCATGGTTCACGTTCACGTGATGATATCAGATTCATGTTCATGTTATTACCGGTTTCATGTTCAGGTTATGTATATGCCAAGATCATGATGTTGTTATTATTTTCAATGTTTACATTAGTATGAGTTTCCACGGAGCACAGTGTTATAGTGCTCACAACCCACTTTTATCATGTTTTTGAGGTCAGGATATCGGGCCGGGAGCGTGAGATGATGGATGTTTCAGGACTTTTATGTTTATGACTGTGTATTATTATGACGATATTACGTTTCCGCTGATTATGGTTTTGACGAACTTATCTTTTGATCGAACTTCATAAAAATTTATGCTTTCAGTAAACCGTATGATTTTGTTAAAAATTAAAATAACGGTTTTCCAAAATAAGTGACGTTTTTACGGTAGCACCCCGAATCAGTTTTCGCAAAGTAAAAGATTTTATTTTAAATAACTTTGTGAAATTTTCGCACTCTGATTTCACGATAAGGTGGGGTGTTACAATTGGTATCAGAGCACGTTTCTGCGTCTCTGAAAAATTTTTCAGTCAGTAATTTTCAGAAAAACCTGAACCGTCATGCTCACGCCCCGCCGACTACAGGTAAGTGCTGATTTATGCTTTCAGTTATAAACATATTACTTTGTCTATGCTCAAAATTATGGATCAGGACTTAGTTAAGATGCTCAAATCAGATTCAGACTTTAGAGTTCATATATAACTCTAGAGTTCAGTATATTCAGATATGACTTTAAAGATCAGTATACTCAAACAT